ATGAGGCGGGCCGGATAAGCAACTTGGTGAGTTCGGGTTGCGAAAGTTTCGAGCTAGATCCGTGACTTCTTTCTGGGCTCGCGAATAAAATTTCCATTTGACCCGTGTCCTCATTCGGACCCCTGTGTATAAACCGTGTTTGCTCTATCTCCCCTCATACTTCGTTTCTGATTCGGGCTCTTTTGGATCTGAGTTTTGGTTGGATTTAGATAGCCCAGATGATGAAGAATGTGAGTTTGGTGGTGATGGCGATAACTAGTTGGTACTAGACTCGGTCTCTGGTAGATCACCCATTGTGAATGGGGTGATCTGAACCCAGTTGGTGATGAGTCTGACCTGACTAAATCAGTCATTCTTTGGCTAGAGAAAGAAGTTTCAGATTAATAGAAAGGAAAGAAGTGTTGAATAAAAAGAAAAGAGAAGATCAAATGAGGGTTTATGAATGATTCAGTTATGTATTGTGTGTGTGTGTGTGTAAAATAAGGACAAAATAATTTCTTTGAAAAGGTTCTCTGTGTTCAACAGTTCAAGTAGACCTTGCACCTAAATTCTTTCAAATGAATTGATAAAAGCTGATTGTGGTGGTGGTGATAGAAAAAAAAAGAGAGAGCGAATAGATATTGGACAGGGGGGAGAATGATGGTGTAGGTTTAGAGTTTGGTGGTAAATTTTGTAATTTCGCATTTTGTTAATTTTTTGATTTTCTAGGGTATTTTAGACATTTAACAAACACTTCACCATAATCTAACTCCGGTCACATTAAATGGAGGTTTCTGTAATTTTTGAAACGTTAGGGGTACTGTTTGCAATTAGGCCTAATATCGAGGGAGGTAAGTGATATTATCCCTTAAATTATATACATATGATATATGACTAAATATATACCATGATTTTGCAGTATCGTTCACAGTTACAGTGTAACGGCCTCGAACAAAATCAAACTGGCCGATACGGGTCACATATCGAACTTGAAATATGGTCGCGTATTGGCTGATACGTCGTATATTGGACAATACGGCGAACCGTTAATTATAAACAATACAAGCGGCTCCCTACTATCGCCGACCACCTACACCTCTGCCTACTACAATATCCCTTTCATTGCAAATTCTCTCTCTCTCTCTCAACCACACCACCCATCAATACTCTCTTTCTTGCTTGTAATTCCTGTGGTTAGTGAGAATCCACAAACAATCCCTTTCTTTCTCGCCTAATTCTTTGTGATTTTCAGAATCAAAATTCAAATGATTTGGCAAAATCAATTTTGGGTTTTGTGTTTAGCCCTAGTCTGAATCTGGGATTTTTGGAGCCACAAAGCAAAAAAAAATCCAAATTATTTGTGCTAGTCACTTTAAGAGAAGAAAAGTATGCCAAGTTACTATAGAAGAAATTGCCAAATCAATTGGGTACTGTTATGGAAATTGAGATTAGTCGATACAATGCCAGAAGAGATGAGGCTGCGAGTGTGAATTAATTGAAGTTGCAATGTCAATTTTGGTAAAGTCGATGCTATCAGTGAGTGATGATAGCTTCGATTTTGCGAGGAATGAGAAGAAAAGCAAGATCGATGATGCAATGAGAAAAGAAGCAAGATCAAAGATGTTGCTATTGCAATGGATTTCCAGTTATTGTGATGCAATTTGAACAGAATAAAGAAGAAAAAGTGATGATGTCTACAATTAGGGTTTCAATTGTTGTTTCGATGCAATTTGGCGATGCTGCAATGTGCTCTGTATTGGAAACAGAGCATACAAAACAAAAACTTTGGGCAGAGTTTTAACTAGGTCCCGTTAAGAATTTCTTGGAGATTTATAGACGAATGCGTTCCTTTCCGTAAGGAGATGAACGTGATATATTTACTTTCTCAAATCCATTTCTGGGCGAATAAGAAATTAGCTCCAAAGTAAGGTATTTGATAAGTTTAAGTGGGTATGCAAAATGTGGGAAATGGTTGTCCCACATTGAAAATAAAGTGAAACCAATTGGAGTTTATCTAACTTAAGTTTGGAATTTGGGTTTGGGCCCTAAGGCACCCAGGTTTTTAAGAGGGGCAGAACCTAGGCAAGCTTGGATCCAAGCCATTTACCACACGCGCGCACCCCGTCTAACCATGTCCGGGTCTGGGATTAATTGTAAAGTCCGTTTAATTTTTTATTAAACGAAATTTTGAACTGGCTTGTGTTTGGACTTAATTTATTTTTTGGGCTAGGCTTATATAGATGGGTAGTGTGACTGGTCTAAACCAGTGCATTCAAGGGGTTGCACCTAGTTCGAACAAGTGCTTCTGTTTGAACTTAACCATCACATCCAGTGCATGTGATGGTTTAGGCCACCCAAAAAGGCATCTTGTAGCCTGTAAATACCCCTTGGATCATTTGGCAAAGGGCACCGATTCAGAAACAGTTTTTAGATTTTTGAATTCTTTCTCTCCTTTTGTTTTTCTCTTTTGATCCATACATATATATAGTGTTAGAGTGTCAGTTCGAGTCTGGTTTATAGAGAGAAGTACTTCGCCGTGCCGATTCACCCATTTCTCCGGTTTGCAGTGTTGCTACCGAAAAAAGAAAAGTCGTTGTATTCTGAGAGACAAACGCTACAAAGTCCATCAGTATCATAGTTGAACAAATCTGTCTTAAGGAGATAGAATCCAATTTTAAGCTCGGCCTATTAACATGTTCTTTTATAGTTGGTTTTGTTAGAGAATTTTATATATATATATATATATATATATATATATATATATATATATTATTGTTTATAATAATAATTATAATAAAATATATACATATATATTTTATTTTTCTATATTATTTAAATAATAATACTATAGTATATGGTACATATAGACTATTACAAAAAACATTATGAGTTGAGGAGAAGCGATTGGACCAAATAGCAAGCTCTGGGTGAGTTGAGGAGATGCGATTGGTCCTAATAGAAAGCTCTGGGATGTGATGCGATGTAAACAAGTTGTTGTTATTACGAGAGAATAGAGAACGATGTGATGAGCTTCGATTGGTGATGCGATTAATTCAACATAGTATTATGGAATGGGCTTTGATTGCATATTAGGGTTTAGATTTATGCGAGTAATACGACAGTGAAGAGATTGCCATTTGTTGGTGTCGAAGGAGGTGAGTTTATATATATATTTTCAATGAAAGTTTGGATCTGATTGTTGTGTGTTTGTTTGATGAGATGTTACTGCCGTCAAGTCACCATTGGATGCTTGACCGGTCATAGGTGACCTAGCCGAAGGTGGAGAAGACGATGAATGAATGATGTTAGCATATTGTTAAGGTTCTGTATTGTGTAAGGCTGTGTATTTATTTATTTAAATAATAGAGGTAAGAGAATATTGATCAAAGGAAGGTGTACAATGGTACGTGAATCGTTAAAATACAAATTGTGTTAACTCCCATAGGGGGTGTCAAAGCAATATTGTCACAAGTTTAATTTATGAGCAATAAAGGCAAACTTGAGGGGTCTCAGAGCATTTCACCCAAAAATAAAAGAAATAAAACATAAAAACTTGAAATTGAATATAATAAACTTGCTTGATGTGGTTGAGATTTGATACAAAGATGAGAGGTAGACAATGAGGATTTGCATTACTTTATTTATAAGCCCAATCCAACATTTTTTTTTAAGAGAGTCCAGATCCAACTTTTTTGTAAGATGTCCACATAGGATACCTATAATTCAAATTGGTACTGAGGAGGGAACAAACGCTCATCCGAGCGCTTTCACAGCTGGCTTTCACCTTTCAAATTTTTCAAAAAGATTCTGTCCACGTGGTCACAACGTTTTTACCAATTAATTTTAACAAACAAATAAAAATGAATAACAAAAAGGCCTACTTTTTCAAATGGTCCTTTTCTTTTTTCTAGTTTTAGATATACAACCTCTACTTTAATAAATGCTCACATGTTTTTGTTTTATCAACTTCAAGGGAGTGAAATAAAGATTATTAAATGCCTTCCCTGTTTGATTTTGAGAAATGCTCTTAGCTCAAACTTCTGCCAATGTAAATGCCTACGCTAAATTAGTATTATTAATAATGTCATATATTATATGTACTCATATATATGACTGAGTAGACCTATGAATAATGGTAATTACCATAAAATATATATATTTTTTAGTATTATTAATAATGTCATATATTATATGTACTCATATATATGACTGAGTAGACCTATTAATAATGGTAATTACCATAAAATATATATTTTTTTTGGCCAAAAAAAAGATAAGAAAAAACTATCAAGTAAGAAAGTCATTGAATATCAACCATGGAATGAAATTGATTTTTCAAAAAATATTATTTTATAGAAAATATTAATATTTTGATAAGTGTTATTTTACAATATTAAGTTATCAAATATTAATTATTAGGAATTCAACTATATATTACACAAGAAAAAAAAGTGAAAATGAAAGAAATGTTAAATTATAAACAATCGTGTAATTTAATAGTATCTCCTCACTTTCTAAAGTAAAAAGTATGAGAGTTTAAATTTTTATAAGTGTAAAAAGTGGATATTTGAATACATTTCTTACCTTGAAAAAAAAAAATTTGAAAGAAAATTAAAAATAAAATTAATTTGAATAAATTAAAATTTTATTTAAATTCAAGATTGAATTTAAATCATTTGATCCTTCCAAATATAGTTAAGTAATTTGAATTTGTGATTCAAATAAAAAAATCCTAATAAACAAGGGCCTATAATATCAACCGAAGAAGTGGAGGGGCCATTGAAAATAAAGAGAAAGCAATTTCCCAAGAAGAAACAAAAAGAAAATTTTTCTACTCGCCTCTATATACAAATATAATATACTCGCTTTGTAGTAGCTCTGCAACACCGAATCATGATTCACCGATAACTCGAACGTAGCGGAACAGATCTAAATTATCTAACGCACAGAAGAGCGAGTACTTATTGACGTAAACGAGCTGCGAGTACGAAAGTACTTGCAAATTCAATAGCAAGACAGTCGTCAATTTAGGAAGCAAATTGATGCAAATTTTCTGCAGAAACACTCACAATTTCTTTTTTCTCTCTTCAACCCTCGTTTCTATTTTCTTCGGACAAAAGCATAATTTTCCATTTCTCTCTCTTTTCATTTCCCTCTCCTTTTCTTTTTTCCTCATCTTTGGAGGGAAAAACCTCCAAACACTCAAAACCATTCTCCCTCCGTCTCTCAAATTCAATCGCTGGTAAAACCCTAGAATTTCGTTTTTCCCACACTTCACTACTTCTCTGTTTACTATCTCTTTCACTTCAATGGCTGAATTAACTGTTTTTATCACTTGCAGGAACTTGTAGTAGCTTCGTTTGGTGACTTTCTCTTGCTGATTTGGTCTCAGGTGCGGTACTTTGAACTCATTTTAAGCTTAAATTTGTTGTTATTTGATTGAACTTCATGGTTTGTTACCTACGGTTTTAGGGTTTTGGCTAGTTCTACGAGCACGAGAGTATCGTGAATCAATCATAGTTCTTACTTGTTATCTGGTTATCTATTATCTGTGTTTGAAGTTTTTTGTACTTCGTTTTTGTTGTTTGTGTGATACAACGGCTGAATCTTCGTGCAAAGAGTAAAACTTATATTTTTGAGAAAAATCTTGATTATAGAAGAATTTGATGATGTTTAACCATAGTAAACAACAAATTAGATACATTTCAGAAACTAATAATTATTACAAAAATATTACTTACCCAAAAAAATATACGTAGTATATATTATTATTCCAAAAGTGTTTCTATAATTTTATGTTTTACATTAATTTTTTGAAGCGTACAAAATTAAGGGACATGAAATTTGGGCTCCACAAAAAAGAAAAAAGAAAGAAAGAAAGCCTCTGACACTTCACTTCTTGAATGTGAATATTGAAGGAAGTGGAGTGGCAGAATGTTTTTTAGAGTGCTAATATCATTTCCCAAAATTAATTGAATATATACATATAATATGGTAGGTGATGGTATCTGAAATTTATCATCTACTCTATTATCTGTCATTCTGTCCTGAATACTTTTATGATCCATATGACTCGAATCTATAAATTTAATTTTAAGTGTTAATTGAATGGTTAAAAGTTGATAAATAGAAGCATACATTGAAATCATAGTATGAAAAATCATAATTTTTGGAAAGAGAAAAATAAATAAATATAATATCAATATGAGGAATCTGGGTCCATCACTGATTTTGAAACTCTCTGCTTTATGAATTTTTATATTGAAGTAAAACAACCAACACAAAACAATTTAATACAAAAGGAAAAATTTAATCGTGCCACTGTGGACATATTAAAGATAAGAGAGACATCTGTATAATGAGCAAATTGTTTGCTCATTGAACAATTCACTTGCTCTTACTTGATTTTTCTATTTGGCTCGAGCAAATATCTTTTGAAGAAAAAAATATAGAGTTCCCAATCAAAATTAAAATAATCACCTAGAAAAGTTTTTTGGATCAAGTTTATTTATTTATTAATTTTGATAAGTCGCAGACATGTTTGGGTATAACAGTTCTTTTTCCAACAAAGTAAACAATAAGATCTGATTAAAAAAGAATGTAATTTTCAGACGAGGCCTGAGTGATGGACTTGGGCAAAGGCATTGTATCATAATGGTTGTAAGTATTAAATGTTTTAGGGGTACATTTCTTGCCATTCATAAGTAGAGAAAGGTGGGTGGTTTAGGATTGGAATACGAAATCTGTATCATTTGTACAAAATAGAAATGAAGAGCCAGAAGTTTCTAATTCCAATGTATTTAATGATCTTGCAAAGTAAATTGTTTTTTTTTGACCTGATTTTTACACCATTTTTTGTTCTAGCAATGTAAAAATAAGATCTAATAAAAAGAGATGCAATTATTGGATGAAGGATCGAGGGCAAAGCCATTGCAGTCTCTCAGTATGTTTCTTGGTACGTTTTAAATGGTACCATTTCCTGACAGAAGTACTAATGTTTAGCAGGTATACTATTGTGAAAATCATGGAAGTGATTTCCAACGCAACAATAAACTTCTGATACCAAAAAATGTAGTCAACAAGAACAAAAAGCTTGAATCAGTAGCATTGTAAAGATATCACTATAAACAATGGATCAGTTATTTGTCTTATTTGAATATAATATAAATTATAAACATGATATTTCAGAAAATACAGAACTTTTTGTCTTTTACCCACATTTTTCCTGAACAGATGCTATGGTCGTCTACTCAAATCCTATTTGCTCAAAATAATTAGGAGATTGCATAGGAAGTATCATTCATTCTGAATGATGTTTGGAAAGGAAGAATTTTGATGTTTGTAGAAATTTGTGGTGCTGGAAAATGCTCTTTCTTTTGCAACAAGAATGGTGAAGCTTAAAATTAGAAAATAAAATAAAATAATAGCTTGAAGGAATTAGTGAGGGTAGTGTGGTACACTGGTATTGTTTATAGATATTGCATCTACAAGCCTCACTGCAATTGCGGAAGTAATATATCATTAAGATAAAAGTTCTCTCAGATATACCATTGACTTGCTACTCTTGATTTTCTTAGTTGTCTGCTTAGGAATCTGTTTAACACTTTTATTTTTTTATTACTTGCTTGCATCAGAAGTATTTCCCTCCAATTGTGATTTATTGTGCTTCCTTTGTCTATTATCCAGAGATTTAGGATTAGAATCACTGATTGGCTGTTTGGGAAATGCAGAAGCCTAACTAGTCATGTGTACACTGGCTGGTTTATTTTTATTTTTATGTGTTTGGTAAATACCAACTAAAGATATGGAAGTTCAAAAGAGCAGGATTCCATTGCAATTTTCTGTTCTTTCTCAAACCAGTTAATATTGGTTTTGAACCATACAGCAAAAAGAATATGGAGTGGGCATGTCCCCTTCTTGAAGTATGCATATAGCCCCTAACTTGAGTCATGTCTGGAAATTGCTATATGGGGCTAGTGGAAGATGAGTTTTGCAAGCTTTGATCATTGACAGGGAATAGTTTAGTATTATTTAGTGCTTGAGCCATATGTGTTATTGAGTTATTATGTACTTCATGCCAAACTTCAGATTGGAATTCTTTTGCAGATGATACTGATTTTCATTTTATGTCAGCGGCCATTTCTGTGTATGGTCATGTTTTATATGTAGACCTCTCTGTATGTTTGTTCATTTTAATTTCTGATGATGGTTATTCGTTTCTTCTGTAATGCATTGAGCTTGTTGACTTATTGTTGACCAGTTTGATATTTACCTTTGCAGGATACAAGTTGATGGTTTTTATCAAATACTGCAATCCAGTTATATATTGTTTCCTATTTAGAAGTTTCAACTTGTATTCTTTTATAAATGTAAGACTGGTCAGTTGGATAATTTAATGTTCTTCTGATAGCTGTCATCCAGTCAAAAATATATTTAGAAGAGATCCTTCAGGGAGGGGAATTTTTATTTTAATTTTTTATTAATCTACTAAAGTGGACTAGCTAATTAGTATTTCAAGACTTGGACATTCTTCTCCAAGTTGGAAATGCAAACAAGGAAAAAAGTTACTGCAAGAAATTCTGCTCGAGAGCTTGCCAGTCCAAGGGTTTCTAGGCATCAGAAAAGGATAACCGAAAATGTGCAAGTTGCAGAAAAGAAAGCTATAGAGCTGATCACATCTTCTGCTAGAAAGCAAAAAATTGGTAAGTTGCTCTGCTCTCTTACACTCATTAGTCTATATTATGGTTGTGAGAACAGTTCCTTCTTGGTTTTGGTTCATGTTCAGAACCAGGAGATTCTTTATTCTGAATCTTTCTAATTTAGTGTCTCTATGTGTTTTTTTTCTTCCCCTTAGAAGGGGAAAAGGGAGGGGGGGTCAGGGCAGAAAGATGCCATTAATAACTTTTAGTATATTGCAGTGCTTAGGATCTAAAGTAAATCAAGACATGCATGGCAAACATCTTGTCTGACCCGGAACAACATCCCTCCTCTCCATCCTTGGTCTTATCTTGTGTGTGCAATAGTTCTTCTCAGTGCTGTGCCTCTTAGTGTATTGCATATTGGCAGATACAATTAAATTATTTATTAAGGCTTTAGGATTTTCTTATACTCTTATGTTTTTCTTTCTTTATGCGTGTTAGACATCAGTTCTAGTAATAAAATATGGATGATGCCATACTTCAAACTTTGTTCTAAGTCCTGGTAGGAGTTTTAACATCGTTTCATTGTGTAATTGGTTGATTACCGAAATCTGACATGTTCCAGTCCAAATTGGAAGTTACTTCCTTATCACCTGCATATTGACATTTTTCCCCCTAGTTGATACTCACAAGTCACAACCCAATCCCCCCTCTCAAGGAATTGTTTGCATTCAAGAGGAGCCGAACCTTAGACCTGATGCTTCCTGAGGCACCAGGACCAAGCGCTTACCCACTTGAGCCAACCCCTTGGGTAGGGATGGCAAAATCCCCATACCCGGTGGGTCCCCGCACCACCCCGCCCCTGTTATGGCGGGTTTGGGGATCCATTTATGTAAATGGGAAGGAGATGGAGATTGTATTTGAAACCCCGGCGGGGGACGGAGCGGGGCCGGGGGAGGGTAACCCCGCCCCTCCCCGCCCCGTTTATAGTGCATTTTTACAAAACTGCCCTTACATGTTACAAAATATTACTAAATTACATAAGTATATATGTAATATATTCACTTCTGAAACCTTAGATCTATTCCCTCGCAGCATAGTCGTCGTTGGAAGAATGTTATTTGTTTTGATTGATCATGTTAAAAATTTCCAGACTATTCCAAAAAATGTTATATGTGGTTTTGCTATAAGTTTGATCGGGTTGAAATGATATGTTTTAAATTGTTATAATTGTGCTGAAGCTTTATTAAATTATTAAGTTGAAAAATATTATAGTTGTGTTAATTTTGTTGATGGTGAATTGGAATTTTTAAAAAGTTATGCGGGGCGGGGACGGGGGCTAATGTGGTGGGGCGGGGCGGGGCGGGGACGGGGGAGGGAGTTGAAATTTAAACGGGTATGGGGGTGGGGATGGGGGTAAAAAATTTGACCGGGGATGGGGATGGGGAATGAGATCCTGGCCCCACCCCGCCCCATTGCCATTCCTACCCTTGGGGTTATATTGGGCCATTTTGCAGGCTAAGTTTTTTTTAAAAGTTGGTGGTTGATATAATCATTAAAATCATTATTACCTTGTGTAGCTCCTGCCTACATGTGGGTGTTGGGAGGGGATGAATATAGACAGACCTAACTTTGGGTATTTTTTATTACAAAGTGACTGCTCTCAGATTCGAACCATGTACTTACGCTTGATAGTGCAAGCTGTTATGCTTGCACTAATCAATATTTCCCGGATGACATGACTATTCCTGTTCGTAATTGTGATCTAATTTAGTAATTTCGTGTTGATATGCTTGTCTATTCTTATTTCTCTATTACACTCATGTTGCGTTGGGAGCACCAAATCAGTACCTTGGATTTGGAATTGGAGAAAACTTAGTACAAAGTTTGAGCTAAATTTTTCCCAATTCCAAGCCATCGATTTGGTGCTCCCAAACATAGCATCAGGGTATTGTGTTGTGACATGGATATCACAGTACTGCCTTAAAATAATTCAGGTTTTTAACTAATAACCTAAATACATTAGATTTATAGCGAGGAATGTGTTTACTTTAATTAATTGTTTCTATAAGATTAGTTTAGCATGATTCTTTCTTGTATTTTTTTGCTTAACTTAATCTTGTCCAAGAAATTGTTGGATCCTGCTATTTAACCTTTTGTATAATCACAAAGGGATTCATATAAATGTTTATTCCTGCTTTAACTTTCAGCTGGCACTCATCCAAAGAAAAGTGTGGAGCATGTTGCTGCAACAAATTTGAATACTAGATTTGGATTGGTGGATGATGATGCTTCCGCTGCTTGTTTGGGTGCCGAGACTCATGACACAATTAGTGGCCATATAATGAACCATGAGGTAATTGTTCATACATTTTTTTTCTTTTTGATTGACAAGTCACTGAAAAGCGTCAAAGGGGGACAAAAATATATTTGTAAAGATAAAGATACAGTAAGATTGTAGTTGTTGTATGCATTATAATAATCTTTTCAATATTTGTCGAGCTTCATTGTGCAACTCTTAGAATTGAAATTGAAAAAAATAATTGAAGTTATATTGTTGAAATGCATAACAGTTTTAATATACATTTTCTTAGCAGTGTCTATATTTCTATCCTATATTTTAAGATTTTTTTATTTGGCCTATCTGTGTCTGTGTTACTCTGGTCATGCTATCAAGGTAAGATGCTATGTTGTTAAGATGCAAGATGACCAAATTTAATTGAAATGAGATTGTTGAGATGGTTAAGTGGCAAGATATGGAAGAATGGAATAAAAAATGACCTGTGCGGTTTTTTTGGTGGCGCCAATTGGGGAAAAGATAGAGAACATTGGTCTAGATAGTTTCATCATGTGCAAAGAAAACGAGTGACCTCAATTTTAAGGAATGTTATAGTTCAGGTTGAAGGTGTTATAAGGAGTGTGGAAGAAGCTTGAATGATGCAGGGATGGCGTACTGGAATATGAGAAAAGGATTGGGTGCTATTGCCATTTATATGAATGTGAGATAATATAACATACATAGAGCAGAATAACCTGATATATCTGTAGCAGAACCATTCTTAGCTGGGATAAGGCCTTTCTAATTAGCACATTTTCCTTTTATGTTCCATGGTGGTTGTCCTTTCTGAAATATTAATCAGTTTAATTTGACTTGAAGGCTCATAATGTGTTCCACTTTGTTGATACCACTTTGTTACATTGCAAATTAAGGATGGATAAAAAATCTCCTAGTTTGTTGAAAATCAAGGCATATAGAATGATGAAGTCAAGTGTTTCTGACTTCATTTAGAGGAACCTAAACTTACTTGAAGGAGTTATGATCCTTGCAAGGATTCTATTGGTATGGGGGAAGACCAAACTTTATACCGCATATCATGATTAGAAAGCTTGTTAATGTCTTTTAAATCTATTATTCGGTAAACCTGCATGCCGATCAATTAAGTTGTGTTTGCTTCCTACTATCTGATTTTTCTTGGGCAAAGTAATCTAATTAAGATCTACACTCATCTGCACTTCGCATAACTCAATCAGCCACACTTGATTGCAATCTGTCAGGAGTCATGACATTAATTAAGCCTCATTGTGTAAATTTAGAATCATGACATGAGGTCGCGAATATAAGAATTTTTGGAAATGTTAATGTTGGACAAACTAATTTTCCTTTATATGTTCAAGACTGTTTGTAATTGTTTTTTTTTTCATATTGCAGGGGTGTGATGATGGAACTGCCCATCACGTGTTAGAAACTATATTTTCTCCTTCCTTTCACATTTCTAAAACAGTAGGAGGGGAAATTGCAAACGGAGGTAGATAATGAAGTTGATGTTTTTCAAATGATGTGGTTTTGTTTCTCAGCCACTCCCAGTGAGATATGTAGTTGAATTTCTGTATTACTTATTGTATTTATGTTTGCTTCCATTATTTCCCAGTTGATTTCATCAAATTCTTCCAGAGCAGTGACCAGTATTTTCAGTATTGTGGAAAAGAGAACTTACAGGTTGATATGCTAAACTGTCATGTTACACAAGAAGATAATTCCTCTTTGGACACGACTTCAATGAATATGACACATCCTGGTAATATGGAAGTGGATGCAATTAATTCATCTACTATTTAAAAAGGTAGAAATTTGGTTGGGTTCTTTCCTTAGTTTTGAATGCTTTGAACTCATATTGTAAAGCAGATTTTGGAGCCGGCTTGTCATCTGAAGTTCCCACTATATACCTTTCCATGAAGAACTCAAAACTGGAATGCATTGATGAACATGGTCAAGATCACATGTCAACACAAGTTTGTGCGGAGGAAGATGAATACGAACAATTTGATGACTTTGATCCATACTTATTCATAAAGAATTTGCCGGCTTTGTCATCGGTTGTCCCAACTTTTCGGCCCATGCTGCTACCTAAACAGACGCGGAGTTGCCCTCCTACTACTCTTGTTTTGGACTTGGATGGTACGAATATATGACCTAGTGTACTAGCCATGCATCAATTTTATATTGGTTGATTAAATTGACTTGAGTAATGATTTTAAAAATATGGATACTTTCTCCGTTGTTCGTTCTTTTGGTCTTTTGTGGCATGTTGCCTACCTCTTGTTTTCAACTGTACCCATAAACCGAATCCTGTTTGACGCTACTTCTCTCTATAACATATATATGATATATAAATTATATATCATATATATATGTATACATATATCTATATATATTAGGTGCATAACAAAAAGGTTCAATCTGAGAACCTAAACTAAGACCACTTTGGTCCTGCATCCAGTAAATGTAGAATGGAGTGAATTCAGTTTGGTCATGGTTCTGGATGTCAGGTAAACCAACTAACCCAAGGACTGATAGAAGCTCTGTTATGCATCAGATAACTTAGGAGTGAAACATGTTTCCTGACACTTCATAAAATGACTCCTTACTTTGTCATGGCACATGTTGTGAGGAACTTGTTTCTTGGCTTGTTCTTTGGGTCTCTTTATCCCATCATATGGTCACTACTTGGCATATAATGCCCATATTAAGAATTCCAAGAGCCAAATTTTCTGTTCTATGATGTAAGCTGGCATATTCACAGTATGATCAGTTGTGTATTATTATTTTAAAAATTTTATTTTAGTAAAACTGAGTTGTGGACTGAACTAACTATCCATTTTGGTTTGGAACTGACTGATCTTGGTCAGTTCAATTTTGGTTTTGGTGCCAAGTGCCAACCCAAACCAGACTGTCAATGTGCACCTTTTCTCTCGCATATATATTTATATGTGTATACACACACATATAAATTCAGTGCATGCATTTTCAAAATTTTTCAGCTTTTGTAGTCCTGATGAGAACTTGATATTTGTTTACACTTCCAACTGCTGAATGCTATGATGGTAATTGTGCTGCTGTTATTGTTCATGCATTTCGAGCTATGTATCCTAATATATATATATATATATATATTGATTATATATTTTGGAAATTATCACAGGTGTAAACTTAAGTCTTAATACTCTCCACTTTAGTAGGGAATTGGAGGACATAGCAGCATTACTGGTTCTTGATCTCCACATCACAATTTAGTTTGAAACTGAAATTCAAAACTAGTGCTCATGATACATGCATAAATATGATTTATATATGTGTATGTGTATAATGTAAAAAAAGCGTGCGATAATTTTATTAGCTAACCTTGTCTTGTGGTTTATTATACTTGTTTAATATTATGGAGTTGCTCTGATATCTATATGTGGATGCTTCTCAGATATTGATATAAATATAGCCTATAGAATCATTGAGAGTGACTTCTATTATTTGACAGAGACCTTAGTGCACTCTACATTAGAACCCTGTGATGATTCAGATTTCACCTTTCCTGTGAATTATAACATGGAGGAGCATACGGTCTACGTTCGATGTCGTCCTTATCTCAAAGATTTCATGGAGAGGGTTGCCGGCCTTTTTGAGATTATTGTATTTACTGCCAGTCAAAGCATTTATGCCGAGCAACTTCTCAATTTGCTAGATCCAAAGAGGAGGATATTTCGGCATCGTGTTTATCGCGAGTCCTGTGTTTTTGTGGAGGGGAATTACCTCAAGGATCTGTCAGTTCTTGGCCGTGACTTAGCACGAGTCATTATAATTGATAATTCTCCACAGGTATCTTTGCATGAATTCTCTCTTTTACACATATTTAGAAGTGTGCTTTGTTATTGGAATCTCTTGTTTTAATTTTATTCTGTCTACATTGCTGGTCTGTCCCACTATTTGACTCGTATTAGACTGAGTTGGTAGTACTTCTACAACATGGTGATTTATGACCATGTATATGAGCTTATGAATGATTTATATGCAATTGATGGTAAAAGGCATGAATTTCAGTGGAAGCTGCCTACTTTGCTTTTTAGTATAAGTTAATATAGGATGCATGGAAGATATCATTACGGACTGACCCTTCCCTTCTAGTCAGTTGCTTAATTTTCCTTCTCTGGTGTTCAACCACCCATTCAATTATTCTTATCATAAAGACAGCCTTGGCGAATTTTATGGTAGTGTGTGCTTGCTGATTTTGGATGGCCCTTTCAGCAGATGGACTGGCACCCCTTGAACAGTATGGTTGATCAGGTTTAACTACGATAAAATAGTTAAACAATTGATGCCATCACAACATTGTATGGATTGTCTGAACAAGATGATGAAATATTCAATATCAATAGTCTTTTATCATGATATGGTTACATCTGTTCGCTTGTGTTCACTGAAGTATGAAAAGCTTTTAGTTTTTTTTTCCTTTTTCTAACAATGTTGGTTCTATTTTTAGGCGTTTGGGTTCCAAGTGGACAATGGAATACCAATTGAGAGCTGGTTTGAGGACCGTTCTGATCAAGAATTGCTTTTATTGCTTCCATTTCTGGAGAGCTTAGTTGGAGTTGAAGATGTTCGGCCACTGATTGCAAAGAAGTTCAACCTTGGAGAAAAAATTGCTGCAGCTGTTTGCCCTTTGAACTCTAATACAGGAAATCCTTTTCAAAGATGACTTTGCGATGCGAGTTCTACAGTTCCTGAGAAATGCAAATTGCCTTTGCTTGTGTTTTAGACTTTACTTTTTGGGAGGGATGTCATTATCTTGGTTGAGAAATTGTTCACAAGACTGATTTGGGGTTATAACAGTTTTAAGTTTTGGGGCAAAAGATGATTGCAGGTGTATTCAATAATAATTGTTTAAACCTTTTCTGAGAAAATGGTTCACTAGAACACATGATATGTAAATCTCTGAACTAGGTTATCTTGGGAATCAAAATTCTATTGTTCCTGGCATATGATTTTGGTTATCCATGATCTTCTTTGTCATCTACAAATATAATTTGTAGTTGTGTAAGTGTCACTGGCTGCAGTTATTTCTTTTGCTTGTGGATTAAGTGTGTCTGTGTTTTTTTTGTTTTTGTTTTAAATTCAAAGGGTTAACTTTATTCTCTTATTTCCTTTTTAGTCTTGTAACTCATCCATCCAACACACAAAATTGCGCAGGGACATGATGTCGTAACTGCAATTTGAAATTCTTAAATGAAGCAGTCTGAGCAGTCCGTTCAGTTGGCTTAGTTTAAATATTTTTCTTTTGTTTTTGTTTGGTGGGTATCATTTTACATTGTAAAGCCAAGTAGTTTGTTATTGGTGTTTTTCCATACTCACTCAAATTTAACTGTTGACAAATAGCTGATTTTGTGATAATAGGCCTTGTATGGTAGTTGTATGACTACATTACAGCAGCAATAGCATATGATATCATAAATCAATTCATCGTAATATGTGGTTTTGGAAGGAGGCCATCTATCATACAAAAGTCTCCTTAGTCCAAAGGACCAAAAGCTAAATGGAAAGGGAGAGAGAGCGGAGAAATAAGTAAGCTTATATTTATATACATGATCAATAAACTAATAAATACGTAAAAATCACGATGGATTTAGCTCTAATGATTTTTCTTCACCCTTCCAAGTGACAGGTTTAGCAATGGTGTGTACCTACCAAAAGTAAAATAAAATAAAATACACAAAAAAAAAAAAAAACGAAGTTAATTTTTTGATTACACCCCTTCACTTTCTTGTTGGATACTTTTAACCCAACCAATAAAATATTTCTTTTCAGTGCATAACTTTTTTGTTTTTTCTTTATCATAGCTTTTCATTTTTTCTTAACAATAATTTCTGACGGGACTTTAACAACTAATTCACTTTTGTTTACCTCACGAAAATCTATTTGAACCTCTGCCCTTGGTTCTCAGGGTGTGAAAAAATACCATCATCCTTGCCATATTTCATTTTTTATGAATTTTCAAGGGAAGAAAAAAAACAAGAAGTTCCATTTTCGTGGGCCATAAGCTCGTCCGTCACCGTGACTTACCAAGACGTTTGAAAACCAACGTTGCTACTAGAACTTTCTCTTCCAGCAAAACCTCCAGTCCGGTAATAAGAGAGTACAAGACTCTCATCTCTCCGATTCGTTCAGTCCTCTCTCAAACACAAAGCACGCAGACAATGATGCTACCCAACGCTCCCAAAGACCAAACTAACCCTTCTCTTTATCCAAATTACAAAATCCAACCACCACCAACGCGATTCGCGTTGCTCAATTTCACCATAGTTCAGTTGAGTTCTAACCATGGTTCAAATTCACGCCTATACATACACACCTCCTCAACCCCTCCTCTCCCGCCACTTTCCTCATTTCTTCCATTCCACTTTTTAATCTGAAAATTTTCAAAACCAAATTCCCCTCTCTCTCTCTCTCTCTCTCTCTCTCTCTCAAGTCTGTAAACATGGTGAGCTTTTATTTCTAGTTCACATTAGCACATTCTTCGCCTTCAATTGTTTCTTATCATCTGGAATTACAGTGTGATTTTCTCGGAATTTTCAGGTCGTTGCACAGAGAGTGAAGGAATCGGAGATCACCGAACAGGACTCGCTTCTCCTTGTAATCAGTCATCCGATTTTTCATCTTATCTGCTTTTGATTCTCTTTCATATATGATCGCAGTAGCAGAGATGAATGAAACTCTGTTTTTCTGCTTTTACTCGTTGTTTTAGGATGGAATCATGGATCTAGATTCTTAGTTTTTAAATTTCTCTAACCCGGATCATTGCATCGATGCATTCATATTAGATAGATTCTGAACTTCGTTTCTTCTGTAATTAGTCGGTACATTTTTCTTTAATTCAACTGTTTCATATTATAATTCAGAGAATTACGTTCTTCAAATTTTTCATTCTCTACTCGTATAATTGCATCTATGTATTCAACTTAGATAGATTCTGGTGTTCGTTTTCTCTGGTAATTAATCGGTACATTTTTTTCCCTGCGTTAATCGGTACATTTCTCTTTAATTCAATTGTTTCTTATGATTCAGAGAATTACGACCTTCAATTTTTCATATAAGAAGAAAACAAAGTATTGCAGCGGTTTCTGTTTGAACATAATTCTGGTAGCAACAATAAGCTCATATATTTAAATTTCTAATTAACTGGAGAATTGCAAGGTCGACTGGTGAAATTATTTCAATGATGATGCAGCGTTAATTTGATTCTTTTGGATCTGATTTCTTAGAAGAATGGCTCTGGTGAAGAACTAACGATTATTAATGGGATCCTAAGGTTACAGTGCATGTTGTAAAGAGTTCGAATCCGTGTCTTCTTTTTTTATTTTGTTCCTATTTATGTTCTAAAATGTGTCTTGATTTGGTTGTTATTGATTTAATTTGTGTGAAGTAAACAGAAATAATTTGATTCCTCATGAATTAGTTAGATTTTAGAGGCTATGATGAATAAAATCATCAATGATGTATAAATGACTCACTGAATTCATTATTTTCTGATATGTTTAGTTACTTAGCGTTGATCTTTACGTTTTCTACTGGTTTAACCTAACACAGACAAGGAACCTACTACGAATAGCTATTTTCAATATCAGTTACATCCGAGGCCTTTTTCCTGAGAAGTATTTCAATGATAAGTCTGTTCCTGCCTTAGGTAAGCTCTTTTTTAATCAAATATTCGTTTAATTTTCTCTATATTTAAGTTTTTAGCTGGTGAATTTATTTTTCTTTATTCTGATATCACAACAGATATAAAGATCAAGAAGCTAATGCCAATGGACGCAGAGTCACGAAGACTGATTGATTGGATGGAGAAAGGCATGTTGAAATTACGAGCTGAGGAACTTCTAACTTTTGTAGTTTTTAGTAGCTTCTTATTTCTCTCTCTGTTGCAGGTGTTTATGATGCGTTGCAGAAAAAATACCTGAAAACGCTTCTATTCTGTGTGTGTGAAGCAATAGAAGGTCCAATGATTGAGGAATATGCATGTGAGATTCATATAAACTCATTTCTCTTGAAATATCTGTAACATGAAGTGTAAGCTTGCATTAGACTAATAATATTATGCACTTCTGGTGGTTGATCAGAATAGGATCTGGACTAGTTAGAGCGAAAGGCTTGATTACACCTGCTAAACTTATTATTTTTTTTTTCCCACTTCATAGAATGGGCATAGATATGTTTTTTCTTCTTCCTTATAAGCATTACAAGTTATAGTGTGGCATATGTTGGTATGACAATGACCGGTTTACTGAATAAACTTACTGAACGTCTTGTGATAATTGTGCTCCATGGTAATGCCTGTGCAAATTATTCTGTGGTTAAGTATATATCTTAAAATTTTTCTGGGATATTATTAGTGCATTAAGTACTAAGGGGAGTCTTTTTTGCAGTTTCTTTCAGTTATTCTAATTCTGATAGCCAAGAGGTTTCAATGAATATCCATCGCACTGGAAACAAGAAGCAGGGAGGAACATTCAAGTGTAACTCCATGACTGAAGTTACTCCCAATCAGATGAGGTACTTCTGTTGAACTGACTCTGTCTAAGTTGACTTTCAATTTATTGTTGATTGGATTTTGAAATACAGATATATCTAGAGTTCCTGATGCAAATGTTAATTTTCAGGAGTTCTGCTTGTAAAATGGTCCGCACACTGATTCAGTTGATGAGAACTCTGGATAGGATGCCAGAAGAGGTAATATTTCCAGATTGTAGGAGGGTTACTAGATATTATTCAAATATTGCATGCATTTTGTATTTGGACAACTAAAGGTTCTCAAAGATGGTGGACTAAATCGCTTTTGACAGTAAGACAACTGTTTTTTTTTTCAGCGCACTATACTGATGAAACTCCTCTACTATGACGATGTAACGGTATGCCCATTAACTAGGTTTTGTGTACCTTCTTTAGCTACTTGTATCCCTTTATAATCTTTATTCTATTCATTTATATCATTGATTTGCCAAACAAGGCTGAGAAAAATTAAAAAAAATGGTCAGAAAATCGATAATCAACTGGTTTTAACTAGTATGTGCTTATGAACTCCATACATGTGGAACTTTTGTGGTGTTTTATCTCAGCTAACCATCGGTAATGTCATTTGGAAATTCCTTACTGTTAGAGTTGTATGTTATTTGAGCTGTATCACTACTGGAACTGGAAATGCTATAGACATCGTTAGGTCATCTAAATGTTACAGATTGTTGAATGTTTGGGTTCCTCACCAGTTAATGCATTTTAGAATCCATCTCTTTTCTCCCATAGCATTTTGCCAAGTAGAAGTTAGGTAACATAATTTCTTGATCTTGCAGCCAGTGGATTATGAGCCTCCATTCTTCAGAGGCTGCACAGAGGAAGAAGCTCATAATCCTTGGACAAAAAATCCTTTGAAAATGGAGGTTGGGAATGTCAACAGCAAGCATTTTGTGTTAGCTCTCAAGGTTAGGGATGAAGATTGCTGGAAAAGCAAGATACTTGGATACTTAAATTCAAAATTTTCATTTTTTTTTTTACAAAAGAAAAAAAAGCATTTAATTATTAATATTATTATTTTTCTTTTTGTAATTGATAACCTCTTCAGGTTAAAAGTGTGCTTGATCCTTGTGAGGATGAAAATGATGACATTCCAAACGATGATGTGAGCTTGGGGGCTGATTCTGTACAGAGAGACAACTCTTCAGAATCTGACAGTGAGGTAACGTGTCAATATTACTGTTATTCTTATTCTCTCTGAGCTTCAGCTAAGAGTTTGATTACGTTAAATACATTTCAATTTTTTTAACTCAATCCAGGCTAGTCATTCACAAGACAAATACGTAGTTGCACCAGCAGGTAAGTGCATGTTCTTTGTTTGCTTTTGTGATCTCACTGTATATTTTTATGTCTCCAATACTTTCTGAAGTTTGAATTATAAATAGTAACTGTTCTTTTGACAGAGAAGCAACCGGGTGAAGATGATGCTGGCATGGTTGATGAAGGTAACATTTCAGGTACAAAAAAGCCATATAATAGACTCCTACACTAGAATGAGTTCAAGGAATATTATATAAATCACAATCTGCTACCCAATATGTAGAAGATACTCAGGATCCAGCAGAAGATGAGCAACAATTAGGCCGCGTAAGGGACTGGATCAGCTGTCACCACCTTGACACTGTTGAACTCACTGATGTTCTCTCAAATTTCCCTGACATCTCAGTTGTAAGGACTTTTCTTTATCTGGTTAAATAGTCTTAAAGATGAGTAATTCTTCAATTGGCTATTTACAATTAATCTTGAATTCCAAAGTTTCCAACATTTGCAATCTTATGATATTGATATGAATTTTTAATTATGGCAGGTTTTGACTGAAGGTAAATGGAGGATCTGATTAATATTAATGACTATCAAATAACGCGTCAACTACTGCACCATTTTACCTTTAGAACAAATTTTTATCTGTTTGATTTGTTTTTACTGGCTTTCAGAAATTATGGAAAAGCTTATTGAGGAAGGCATTATATGTAAAAATGGAACTGACAGTTACACCATTAACAAGCAAAAGGTTGTTTATTTCTTTGCATTCTTGGTTTGAACATTAACTCCTAATCTCATTATTGTGCGTGACTTATAATCCCAATCATTTTGACTAAACTTCAATCTTAGAAATCCGACTATGAATTTGATGCTGTAAAAGAAGAAAAGGATGGCCAAGCAATCGCAGGTGGCAACAAAGCTCGGCAGGGTATGAATGAAGATCACATGTACATGAAGGTGAGTTTCATTAACTTTGGTAATTTGTATATTTAAGCAATTCCTTTTTCTAATAAAACATTTCATGTCTAACTAGTGTGTGTATATGTGTATATATATATATATATATATACATATTAGTTTTAAATCATAGTTCTATGTTTATATTTATAGAATTTTTTTAATTTCCCTTTGGTTTCTGTTTATCCTTATGTTTGGTGGGATTTTAGAGCTGCGTACTTCAAGTGTTTTTATTTTACCTAATCATTTGCCTCAAGTATAGAAACTAGAACCAGTAATTTTAAGAGGTCTACATAATTTGATATTTCTATGGGTACTTTGATATCTTAAAATTTACTGATTACGAATTTTGGAAATTAATTTGGTCACGAAAGATTATGACTGGTCAGCAGAATGAGATTGTGGAGAGTCAATTTATCAGATGTTTTAGTTTTATGAATCAGATTTTCTTTTGGCTAGTCAGAAAATGATCCTGGCAATATTTGCTTGAGTCCACACTACAGCAAAGGTAGCTGGTGTTGTGTTAATTTCTGCATTGCACATTTATGATCACGTTTTCTGATTACAGGCCTTGTATCACGCGCTTCCAATGAACTACATATCTGTTGCAAAGCTTCAGAGCAAGCTTGAAGGAGAAGCTAACCAGAATACTGTGCGCAAGCTAATTGATAAAATGGCCCGAGATGGATTTGTTGAATGCAAAAGCAACCGCAGGCTAGGTATATATAGTTGAACTACAAATTTTGTTCATCTATTCATTTATTTTTTGTGCTTGGTATCATTTGGCAAAGTAAATTGTTTTCATCAACTTTTGTCATTTTTTTGCCATAGGCAAGCGTGTGATCCATTCTGACCTGACTGAGAAAAAGCTAATTGAAATCAAGAAAGCTTTGGACATTGATGATATGGTGAAAATAATACTTTTTTTTTGGGAGCATAATTGCACATCTTCAATTTTATTTAGTATTTATTTATTCCTCTGTACAGTTTTTTTGAAAATCTATTGAATTGAACAGGATATGGATATCATTGAATCACAATACCAGACCAACCATACAAAATTTCAGACAAAGGGTACCTGACCAAACACTTCTAGACTTGTTATTCAATAATTACCGGTTCCTCTAATTGACAGTTGATATTAAGGATTCTTTTACTAAAGTAAGGATTTTTTTAAATTTTTTTTTACTATCAGGAATCAACCAAAAGGACTTGTCTACCTGCGGTGCATTCCACTCCATTGGATCAGATCTCACACGCACAAAAGGCAGATCTGATGCACATCAAAATGGCTCTATGAGGAGTGAGCAGACTGTTTCGAAGACACGGGAGCACGGAAATACCCCCATGAGCAGGGCTGAGGTTGGTTTATCGAGTAGTGAAATGCCTCCTTTTACTTTATAGCAAAGGATTCTGATTTATTGTCACTGTAAAATAATTGTGGTGATTGCACAGCCAGTTGCTTCGAGAGAGAGTTTTGTGCCAGGGAATGAGAATGGCAGAGGAAATGGAAGCGCCAATCAACGCGATGGGTTTGACACAGTTATCTGTAGCAGGTCCACCCAAGACAAGAGGTCGAGGAAAGCAAGCACGGTATGCTTCACATTTATCTTCATAGCTTGACTTAAAAAGTATTTTTCTACCCTCTTTGAAGGCAATGCTCAAAAGCCTTTTTCTTCACAAATCTTTTTTCCCCCATCTTATAGGTTAAGGAGCCTATCCTCCAGTACATGAAGCGCCAGAAATCTCAAGCTCCCTGAAATGCCTTGGAATGTGACCTTTCTTAATCAATTCCTGTAGTCGCTTTACACTCGTGCTAGTTAAATATGTAGAAACTTTTAGTTCAGTCATATTTTGGAGAAAATGTAAAAATTATGACAATTCACATTCCTTCCCAAAACCTGTGAAGGTCAAATCTTTATGCAATACACTTGCACTTGAAATAGGGCTATCATTTTAAAGATGGCTTATGAAATATGTGTCAATATAATTGAAGGAATAGATCCTTTTTATGCCAGATTTCTTCCCTTCTGAAGCCAAGTTGATGCATGACTGATTCCCATGAAAATGTGGAGGCACCTCCAGTTCGGATAATGAGTTGAACCTGCTCTTAGCAGTTTCGGTTTGTTTTTTTTTTTTGGCTGTTTCTACAAATACGTTTTTAAGAACACCGGATCTTGTTCGTGACCTCCTAAAAACTTGAATGAAGCAGGAGATATGTGAAATGAATGGTATGCTTGGGTGGAATCTTGTGTATGCTAATGGTGATTGTATGAGAGTAAACAATACCTAACGAGGAAGGTGACTTCCTAACTTTTCTGTTAAGGCTGAATATAGGTGTGACTGACCTAATCGATCATCACAACTCTGTATCCCACATTAAGAGGCTAGAAAAAGCTAAGCAGGGGCTCTCCATCTCTCGAAAGGTTGTTTGCATGGTAAGCCTTGCCTTTTCTGTTTGGCTCGTCCCAATTGTATCAACTTCCACTATGCATCATAAGAAAATATCTTGTCTAGATCTGATTACTTCAGTTGTGGAGCTTTATTTCCAAGTGTATTCTATATAAGACCATAAAGCAAAGTGGCCAAAAAAATTTATCTACTCCGTAACTCTTTATTTTACTATTTTATTTTCTTCCTACTTTTCTCTTCAACTCTTTTCCTCTAGCCAAACGATGGAGCCTGCCTCTCTTCCCACCTTCCAGTCTACCAAACGAAGCAAAAAGGGTAGTAGTCTACTTTTTCTACCAAACAAATGTCGGTTGCTTTTACTCCATTTGATTATGGCCACAAGTATTCAAAGGTTACTCTACTTTTCTAAAACACACTTATCTGATTAAATTTACCAGAACAAGAACACCATAATAAGTAGGTCTACGATATTTTCAAACCCCTCTCCAAACTATGTCCGACTTTCCGTGTCCTTCCCAACGGTTCTACCGTTTCCAGAAGAATCCGTTCGTTGCTATTGGCTGAGACTTAAGTAGCTTTGGAATCTCTTCAGGGCCCACTTCATTGGACACGTGGTTTCACGTCCACCGTCCAATCTCACCAGCATCTCACATGGCACAACCAGAAGCTTCGTCACCATTCTCTCTCATGTATAAATATGTACTTGCTATATTCATGATATTTCGCTCACTCGCAGCTAGCAAGAGAAAAAACACGAAGAAGAGAGAACTACGAGAGCGTTTTGCTTCGAGATCACGAAAAGGCGTCGAATAAGGTATGTGAGTGTCTCGTGCTTCGTTTTGTGATCTCTACTGCTATGTGATTTTGAATCTTCTGATATAGTTAATCAACATTTTCTGATTGATTGACCGATTCGTGTGTTTATACAGATGGAAATGGAGAACAAGGGTCGAGAACTGAAGCACCTAGGGTTTGTGAGGATGATTGCGATCCACGCTGTGGTATGCGTTTCGAATTTGTACGAATACGCCAAGGGGAACTCAGGGCCCTTGAAATCGACTGTCGGAACTGTTGAGAATATTGTAGCGACTGTGGTTTCGCCTGTTTACGAGAAATTCAAAAGTACCCCTGGTGATGTGCTTGTTTTCCTTGATGAGAAGGTACTGTTTATACTTCTGTTCTTGTTGATCTTGTATAGTTTAGCTGGATCATAATTTACAAGACTGTTTTCAATTGAGTGGAGTATATAATTTTGATTGTTATTCTATTTTAGTAGCATTTTATATTGATTATGTTATGCTGTAGAGTTTATGGAGGAATAAAGAAACTCTCAAATTCATGAATCGAGTTGATCTCATGAATAATTGATTACAACAGATATGTACAACACACACACACACACACACACACACACCATTTACTATAAAGAACTCTATTTGTGTTTTTGCAAGTTGTATGCGATTGCTTGAGAGCGCTCTTCCTTAGCTTCTTTTTCAATGTTGTACTTTCTTCTGTTTTTCATTTCAACAATTTCAACTTACCAACCAAAAATAATAATTTGTGATTGCTTGAGAGTGCGCTCGCTTAGCTTCTTTTTCATTATTGTATTCTCTCTCTCCTTTTTTTTTTTTCATTTTAATTATTTCAACTTGCCAACCAAAAATAATAATAACAATAAATGAAATAGTTACTTGATAAGTACAGCTGTTCAGCTTTATAGAATTTATGAGGTAGTTTGTAAAATGTCGGTATGATAATTCTTGGGACCTTCTATATTCATATTCATATGTGGAGCAGGTAAAGCAATTTAATTGTGTGGTGGTTGGCATTAGTGTTTGACAAATACCCATCATTCTTCATTACCCCTCTTTTTCTGTTTTCACTTTAAAATAGGGAGACTGACTGTCTTAGCTAAGGGGCACAAATTTAGCATCCTTGTAGATCAATGAAAGTTACGAATTTTTGTTAGAGGATCTTGTTGTTAATTGGATTGCAAATTAAAGCGGTAGGCTAATTCATGAAACCTAGTATCATGGTGGTGATTGCAGTTTGTTTGGATCTTGTTTTTTAGTGTTGAACTTATTGTTTCTTTTTGTATACCTTTTCGAATGACAATGTCGAATCATTTTGTTGACTTATATTATCACATGATCTCGTCTCTGGAGACTGTAGGGAGTTTAAATCTTGTATTCATAAATGCATTCCCATTGAATTGGCATTGTGAGTGGCCCATGTGTTATAGGTGTTAGTTGGATCTACCAGTTTGACAATACCACAATCACAACGTGTACTCCGTAATTCAAGTTTACGACGTACTCTGACACATATTGCATGATGAGAAATTCGGCTGTACAATGTGGGATAATGAAATGAGAGGATTTTGTTTTTTGATTCAATTTTAGTGTTTAAGCATTTCGAATTGTGTTGTCAATTGCAGGTGGATGAAGGGACAATGAAGTTTGATGAGCATGCTCCGCCTTTGGCGAAGCAGGTTGTTAGCCAAGCCCAGTGTGTTGCCCGCAAGACATCAGAGGTAGCTCAAGTCTTAGTGCATGAGGCTCTGGTTGGTGGTCCGTATGCAGCCATTCACTATGCTGGCACACTGTACAAGGAATTGCTCGTGAATGGGTCGGTGAGAGTGTGGTATGGAGTGAATCAGATTCCTCCCTTTCATGCGGTAGCAGAGATGGTTGTCCCCACTGCTGGCCGCTGGTCGGAGAAGTACAATAAGACGATTGCAGACATGACTGCGAAAGGTCATACACTCTTCAGCTATTTTCCTTTAGTCCCTATTGATGAGATGACCAAGGCCTATAAGCAGGTTGAGACAGCAAAGAAAGGAGATGCAACTGCTTGCGCTGAACCCCAAACAGAGATGAATTAGGAGATGTCTATAGTCTGGTAATATTCTAGTGTGTGGCGTTTGAAGAAATGTGGATATCTAGTACCTAAATGAAATCTGACTAAACTCTCTCTTAGAGGTATCTGAAATCTCTTCTACATGTTTGTCAGGTGGTTTTGATTTGCTGTAATTATACGTTTTTGTTTGTGTTTACAAATATGAACTGGAAAATGTTCTTAGCACAAAGCCATGGGCTTGGTTGGTAATTGTTGACAGTCTTAGAAATCATGTTATGTTTTTCAAAAGTTTGTTAAAATATACTAATTTGTTATACAAAATTGAAAGCAGTGTTTAGGGCATGTTGATTTAGGGAAGAAAAATACAACAAATGTGTCTATATATATATATATAAATGCATATATATGTTTTCACACGAGTCCGATCTTTTTCTTGATTTTGAATCAGATGTTTCTGTTAGTTGGATTCCGATTGCTGTTTTCTCAGTACATGTGTTCGCTGGAGAGTTGAAATTTTCTAGTAGCATACTGGGTTGTGGTCATTATCTTTGAAATTTGTTGTGTGAGATGCTCTCTACATTTAGTTTAGGTATTTAGGTTTGTACATCACTTCTACATTTAAAAACGTTTACTCAACTCTTCTGCAGCAAATAAATCTAAAAAGATAAAATTATGCCAATGATATAATTAATTGAGAATTTCCTTGTTCACAGCAGCTATCTTGGATTCTTAATGTGCTTGTGCTATCAATCAAACCTGCATTTTATTTTTCTTTATCCATTTTAAAGCAGCTCGGAACAGCATTCACAAGAGAAGCACAAACTCAAAACAGGAGTATCTCTAGTAGAATAATGATGATAAAACTTACTAGAAATAATAATGAAACAATGATTAAATATGCCCAAAACAGGGCAAGCCAAACAAAAATTTACAGTAACAGAGATGTTTAGTAAAATGACATTAGCATAATTCTAGACATGACCAAAAACAAACCTTAGAACAGACTTAAGCCAGGAAAAAGATCAACACAGCTTCTTGATTGGATTGTTAGTTGGGGTTTTCACATACTAATCATGTCTTTTGGAAGTGCTAATTAGTTCAGTAATGTGCTGCTGGTACAAATTTAGTGCACTATTGAGAGACACATGCTCTACATGTGTAAATCAAATAGGGCTAAAGATAGATATTTGTGGGAGACATCAAATACGAAAAGAGCACGTAACAGCAGCATCAAAGGGTAGAAATGAGCTTATGAATATTTAACAAAAAATATCTTCAAGGAAACCTCCAATACAAAGGGGACACAACCAAATCTCAATAAACAGACCACCGTATTCACTTATTACAGAGATGCTCACATTACTGATAAAAGAAAAGCTTCCTCATCACCCTTTTCACTCCATTTCCGTTAGAAAGCTCCAAATCAGTCTGCTGATGACTGCTAACCTTCCTGCATCAATGAAACAGTATTAAGAATTTTATATCGTAGTCCTGATTTGTTTCCAAATTTCTCTCAAAAGTACACAAAAGCCTAGCTTTTATGGATTTTTACACACCTCCAAAAGCTCACTTCAGTATGTAACAAATAAAAAAGCAGTTTTTTAAACCAACCAGAAAATATCAAGATAAAACAATCATGGGCCGAGATTATGAGGCAGAAAAAAAGTGAATATATATGCGCGTGCACATATATATATATTACAAAGATCTTCATTAGCAGGGCACTGCTAATGGTCTCAAATGGTCTTATGCCACATGTTACATCTTCAGCTTTGGCTGGTGCATCACTAATGACATGTGTATTGCCATAGAAACACATACACTCACTTCCACCCCACCTGGGAGCTTGGCCTCTATCTAACATGTAAATAGAATAAATTGAAGGAAAAAAAACAATAAGATTCCAAAGTACACAGACAAAACAAATTACTTCATCATAACTGTTGAAAGAGGTTATATTAGAATTATTTCATTTACAACAAAAAACTGTTCCAACAAAACAAACTAAGCTGCAGTCAGGAGAGCCAAATCTCAGAGGCCACCCCGATGAGACGACAAAAAGCAAATGGAGGTGGAAGCAATAATCAAAATTTAACTGCTACATCACCAAACAAGAATATACATGTAAATTGTTAAGAATGTATTTAGTTTCCATTAACTAATTAGTTACACAAGTATCACAAATGCTAGATTTATAGTGCTTTCACATTTCCGGTATTCATTTTAGATTATGATTTAGATACTGCTTTAAAAAAAATGTAACATTTAACAAATATTTAAAAATACATAGTAGAACTATACTTGAGAGATCTTAAAATGCAACATAAAACAATTATATAATTTTTTTGAAGTGAATAAAGTAAAGCTCAAGCTCATGTCTCAGAGACAGCTAACATTGTTAAATGTAAATTGTTACCTGTAACAGATCATATTAAGTTTTCATTACTTAATTAGTTAAACAAGTATCACAAATGATATATTTATAGTGCTCTTACATTTCCGCTATTCATTTTAGAATATGGTTTAGACAATGAAATGCACTGTCTAACGAATATTTAACAACACAAATACTTGAGCCCTTACAATGCAACATAACACAATTACCCTTTTTCCTTTTTTCTTTTCTTTTTTTTTTTTAAAACATTCAACGCAAAATTCAAGTTCATGTTTCACAAACTGCGACTTTGTTCCAGGAATCATAAGGCTCGTGAATTTAGGCATTATAATTTTCAAAATCAAACAAATGCGAGGAAATAATTCAAATTTTAACAGTTCGAAAACAAGTCAAAAAATCCATCAACTGTAACCACTTACATATGTATATATATATATATACACACACATACAGAAAAGTACACACAGATATGAGAATGAAAGCTTACAAATTAGTTGGTGATATCTTGGAGGAGATCATCGTAGGGGTCCCTACGGCCAGGCACTTGGCTAATCTGAGCATCCCAAAAGAGCTGAGCGTTGTGGCGGTCAAACGTCCAGAAACCGTACGGACGGAGAGGAAGGCTCCACATCTCCTTCGTCTTCTTGCACTGATCCTTCCTATGATACAGCTGCTCTCTGAACTTCCGATCTCTCTCTTTCGGATCCTCCATCAATCTCAGCACCAAATTCTCAGCGAACTCCATTATAAACCCCATCTCCGATGCGATGTTTTCTCTATCTGAAACAAATTACAATTTGGGGAAAACTGAAACCCTAGAAGTCTGTATGAATCGAAATCCAAACCCTATATCTCAATATCGACCTTCAAACACAGCAAGAAAATAAATCGAATTCAAAGAAAATAAATCGAACATTGATCACATCAGAGAAAAGAATTACCTGCTAGAATCTGATCGAAACTGTGTGAGACACTGCGTGTTTCGGGAAGGACAAATGGCACTGTTTTATGCAATATACAGGTTTTAAAAAAAGTTGCTACTACATAGATTGAGAGAAGTACGAAGTGTTAAATTGGATTGTACATTTGGGCTTTACTGCGTGGATTGAACATTAGGCCTTTCAGTAAAGCCAGACATATGGCTTGGGAAATCGGGGCCTGAATTATTACAGATTAGCCCTAAGTGTTGTTTGGGCCCTAATAAGGACAAAACTGGCCCATCATCGCCCCCTCAAAAAAAAAAAAAAAACCCATTTTATATACCGAATATGCCCAAAAAAACTCATGCCAAAAAAAACTCTTGGCCTTGGGCTATTTAAGAGGCGAGTATGTCCTTAATTTAAATAAATATTACATTCTCTTTATTTTTTTATAGAAGTATTAATATATTTAAGTTATAGTTAAATTAAGAAAGCAGACAAATTGAAAGATAAATAGATGATTTCATTTAGGTATATATACATATAAATATATGTACGCATTTGTGTGAATTACCCCATTGAAGGAGAAGTGAGAATCAACATTAAATTATTTTTGTCTCTCCAATTTTCTTTTATCTTTTGTTATATATATATATATATATATATATATATATATATATATATATTATCTTATGATAAACAAGAAATTAACTATCTATTAATTAAATTATTCAAACATGCAGATCATTAATTTCCTCATCATCTGCCACAAAATTGCCACATCATTCATTTCCTCATCTAATAATTTGTGATATTTAGCATTTTTCAAAAAAAAAAATCATACATTTTCAAAATTAATCAAATAAGGACATTTTAAAATTTGAATATTAAAATACCTAAATGCCCTTAAAGCAAAAAAATAAATAATGTTTATTATATTCACAAATTTTTTTAAGGTTATTTTGGGGGTTTACACAGTAAAAAAAAAAAAAACTGTGAATTGTTTGATGTGATGTTACGTTCTTTGCTGACTAAAAAAGTCGTGATTATGCTGGTGTGGTGTGTGGGTATGGGGAGGGTGGGAAGCATGGATTGCCATATATTGGGATATATCTCTTATGAGAGTGTTCTTATTCTCCACAATTGGAGTGGGAGGAGAAAATGGTAATTGTTCCAGAATTAGAGATCGTGTTACCCATTACAATCAATTAATTATATTCTAATCTAATCTCTACCTTATATGCAAAAGGCTAACAAAGCTGTCAGTTGTGCCCAGAAATTACAGCCCATGGAACCTTGGTTTTAATCTACTCTCTTTTTTCTTTTATTTTTTCTGTTTTTGTGCAAAGTTGACATTTGATTCCCAAATTTCCTTTCGGTGTTGCACCTCTTTTGGGGAATCAAACAAAGCATTCTAAAATTGGAGAATTCAACGCTGGAACCAATAAAGCTTTTTAGTAGGTCATCCAAACAAGTCCCACTCTGTCACCATAAAGAGAATCTAATTATATATTTAAATCAGATTTATATAATTTGATTTCAAATTGATTTTGCACTTAATACACCAAATGCAGGAATACAGATCACGACCCAACTAATTTAGGATATGTCATATATAGGTTGACCTCTCAATAGAATCTCAAAAGCAGTTAGTAGTAGTGTATAATTTCATGTCTTCTGTTGTGATGTTTTGTGTTTGGTCTGTGGTTCACTGACATCCTCAACCACATTAGCTGAAAACCCAACCAATGGGTTCAAATGTGAATGGGTTCTGGACCACTTATCCCTCAACCATATCAACTGAAAACCCCACCAATGGCCTCAAATGTGAATGGGTTCTGGACCACTTATCAGTGCCTAGTTTTTTCATACAGCATTTGGATGAAAATACAAATAATAATGATGATAAAACATAGAATAAGTGCACTCTCACTATCAGATCCGCGTAAAAATATGCATAATATATATATACACACACACACATATGATTAGCACCGTTAGTTCGGATTAGAATCCTCTATTGTACAATACTAAATTCTAGTTTCATAATTTCGTATTAGATTTGAAAAGATTGTTGAAATCTACAAATAAAAAGACAAATTGAACTTATTTTTCAATTTCTCATCAATTGTTGAAAACAATTTCTTTTGTTAATTAATTACACACTGTTTTGTAATGGATTTCAGACGAGGCATAAAGTTACCCAAACAACCACATTACATTCTCCCATCCACTTGCAAATGCATAGTGCAACTCCCACTATTCCTTTCCCCCATTCTTTGCTTCCTTTGTCTTAGTCAATCGCCTACTTTGTCTCACCCTTTTTGACCAACACATTTACAGCCACAGCCGAAAAGAAGAGCAGATGGAGAGGAAAATTGTGACCATCATCATTACAAATCACCTAGGATCCTCCTCCTACCTTTACCATTCTGCTTCACAACTGGGCTTTTTTTTTTTTTTTTTTTGAAGAGTTTAACCTCACCTATCTTTTAAAATTTGAAATATTTTCTTTGACAATATTAGAATGCTTTCTCTTCACGCCACAAACTAAGACAAATCTTAGCTACAAATCTGATCATCTCTTACCCAATAATACTGTTATGTTATTTAATCACTTGCTCAAAACTGTACGTACACATTAACAAAGTTATCAAGAGAAATAAAGAAATTTAATTGAGAGAATACACGTCTTAAAATCGACCATTATCTTCTGATTTTTTTTCTTCTTTAAAACTGGCAGATGTTACAAAATGTAGGAAGAAGGAATTAAGATTGAAATGAAATGAGCAATTTAATTTAAGGAAATTACAGTTTTTTAATTTAAGGAAAATTCAAGGTAGCCAGCCAAATTGGCCTATTAATGAACTCTTCAAAACCCTGTACAACTTAACCGATCACCATAATTGATGCTGAATTCAATTTTCCACCTAAACTGTCCCGACTATTCTCTTTCTAGAGCTTTCAAGGCTCACGCGCCGTTGCCGTCACAGTCACAGTCACAGTCACTGTCTCCGTCACCGCCGTTTAACTCTCAACCATTGCATCTCCATCCTCACCAACACCACCTCCATTGCCGTCACCGTTATTGTTGCCGTAATCTCCGTCCTCGTCGAGCCACCTCTCTATGGGTGCGCACTCCACCTTGTGGCGCACCTTCCAATCCAGCGCCTGACACGCGCGAGAGCAGTAGTTCACTGCGCCACAAACCGAACACCGACGGTACTCATGCCTCCTCGTCTCGGGCCGTCCACACCCGGCGTGCGAGCACATTCGGAGCCCCGGACCCGGATAGCCACCCCGAGCAGCGAACCACTCGGTCAAAAACTGGCTAGCCGGGTGGGCTTCAGGGGCAGGAACGTTGCACCCGAAATCACTCAGTAACGGACATCCCGAGCTGGTCACGAACCGGTTTTGCGAGAGTGGATTCCACGTCAGCAACGAGGCCGTGGCTGAGGGAGGGATGGAGCGAACGGCGGCGAGCTCGCGAGCGTTGGCTTGGACGAGGAAACGGCGTCCCTCGGCAATGTTCTGGCGAACGCCGTAGCCGTCTTGAAGGCAGTGGCCGAGCTCACGAAGCGCGTCGACGTGGCCAAGGAAGGCGGCTCGCGCGCACAGTGCCACGCCGGCACGTAGGTCCTTGTCGTTCTTGGAGCCACCGCTGCCGTTGAACTGAATCACGGCGAGCGAGTACAACGACGGCGCGTGAGAGCTAATCGCGGCCTTGGCCATCAGCGATGCTCCGCTTCCTCGGTTTTGTAAGCAGTAGAAACGAATCTGTTTAAAGAATAAACCACATGAGTCCATCAATTCATAAATGGCGATCATAAACTGAATGCTATTTATATGGGGAATGTTGAGACTGATCAGTATATATATATATATATATATATATGCATGCGTTTATACAGTTAATATAGAAGATACTGACCATGCCGAGAGTGTAGCAGGCTTCAACGTTTCCGGAATCGGCGCAATGTTTCAAGAATCGGTGAGCGGAGTCGGACCACTTCTTAGCTTCAACGGAAAACGTTTTGGAAGAAGCTTTGGATAATACAAGGGAATGGAGGCCTAAGCCGTTTAATCTTTTGCACCTGTTTTCAATACAATCACCAGAGTTAGCTTCCAACTCCTGTCAGTGATAAAATTTAAAAAACTATTCAAAACAAAATTTTGTTTATTGAAAAAAATGAGAAAAACAAATTCTTCTTCTTGTTTTGATTATATACATAGATCGGAAGAAAATTGAATAATGAAGAAGAATTAAAATTGGAAGAATGAGATCAAATATGATTAAAAACATTGTTTTTTATTGAAACGGTGTCAGAATCATCGCCGGAAACATTGATTTCCGGCGAGAACAGAGGAAATGGGAGAGAGCAATTGAGAAGCGCACACAGTCACATACGTTATCAAAACGTTGATAAAATCAGCTGGACAAGCAGCGGTGGAGCTAAGTTTGCAGAGAATAGAAAGAACGAGATCATCCGGCAATGAATCGAACAAATCACAGTCTCCGGCGGTCTTCAAACGTTTCCGGCGATTCCTCTGTTGTTGTTCTCTGGCGAAAACTCCCCTTTTGATGACTTCTCTCTCGTCCAAACACATGTCCACTCTCGGATAACAAGTCCCTCTCCTTGTTCTCATCTCTTTATAGATAAGCTAGACTAGATAGAGAGCACTGTGATCTTTATATATAAAAGAGCAAGATCGAACAAGAGGCTTTATATCAAACGGACCAACTAAAACGACACAGCCCAAATCTAAATAAATAACCCAGGGATGGAGTACTTATTACCAAAATAGCCTCCCAAGTCGGTCAAACGGCGCTGACCAGATCCTTCCGTCCGTCGTCGTCGATTGCTTTCTCTCTCCACTACAAAATGCCTCTCCTTTGTCGCTCTCATCTCCAAGATTGACGACTATATCTGTATATATATATATATAGATCTAGAGAGAGAAAGAGAGAGCATCATCATAATCTCATATTTAATTATGTTGGTTCAGGAGGGAGCTGTTTTTCTCTCTCCACTCTCGCTAAAATTTTACTGGGTTTGTTTTGAAAGCGGTTAATTTTGTTGTAAGCAAGCAACTAACTTCGGTTAAATTTTCCGAAATACCACGGAGTTGAACAAGCCAATCACCTATAAACATTTTTATTATCGCACGTGCAAAACACTGCTGCTTAATCAAGTCTTATAGATTGGCGTTTGTGTTAAACGCGCTTTATGTGCATGGAAGAAAGATTAGCCTTGAATGAAATTTAGGTAATTGCTCTCTTTGATGCCCTAAGCACAGGAGGTCAAAAGATGATTCGTAACATAGAGGGATTGAGTTACTCTTGTTTGTTTTACTTGCCTATTTTAGTTTTTTTTTTTTTTTTTTTTTTTTTTTTTTTTTTTTTTTTAATTCCTTTTCTATCCTTGGTTTTGTTTGTTTTCTCTTTTAATCACTCACTCCTTAAAACATTTTTACAAACTAGAATTATTTGCTAACAAAAATCAAATTGAAAGTTAATTTTATGGTACAGTAAGTCACTTTTTTTTTTTTTTTTTACCCTTTTTGACACTGATCAAGTTATTTTTCAAGTTTTTACATTTTGGGGTGAGGTAGAAATAGAAAGTAATGAACATGTTAAATTATTATGATGTCTCTTTTAGATCATATTTTATTATTCATAGAACAAATTACAATATCTTATAATAATAAATTCTCTTATTAAATTTCAATCAATATTTGAAAGATCGGGAGACTACAAATAACTATGTAGGTTGACTGGTTATAATTTTTTTTCTTGACAAAAAATATTTGATTCTATTCATTAATTTGCATCAATTATGAGTCGCTTAAGTATTGTTTAGGGTCTTCCGTGATAAAAAACAATGAGTGGGTATTTCATGATAGAAAATGCTCAAAACCAATATATTTCTTAAATTAATGTTTGAATCTTAATGACTCTACTTGTGCAGCTATTTACATTTAAAAGGTCTCTTCTAAGTTTTGGAACAACCCTTCACTTTTGAGACCTCGGAAAAGACCAAACTTGATCCAAAATATTCACTTTGGATATGACCAAATGGTTTACTCATTGAATTTTGGAACTTAGTAAGTCTAAGGTCTGGGGTTCGACTCTCAGTAAGTATTTTTTGTGGCTAATATTCGCTGTCCCTACAGTAACTTACCCGTTCCGGTGGGGAGGTGCCCTTTCGAATCCTCGAAAATTAGTCGGGTTGTTGAGGGACCTTAAGCGTTTATGCAATCCCGGACACCCCGAATTAACTAAAAAAAAAAAGACTTGATCCAAAATGGATTACTTAATCATTAATATATATAAAAATTCGTATTGTATTATTAGTTATAGTATATAATTATACAGAGAACTGCAAGCATACATATATAGAAGACAATTGATTATGATATCACAAAAAAGCTATTTTAATAATAATAATAATAATAATAATAATATTATTATTATTATTATTATGATTATTTTTTTATTATTATTATTTTTTTTAGGGCTTGTCCATGCACTGTCCTTACTCATCAACATCTCCATATCCCATGTTCCATTTTTTTAGACAATTATATTTATATATAAATTGGAAGTTATTTTATTATTCTTCTCATTTAGTCATGCGCCATATTAGCAAACTTCCCTTGAATATAATTGAGATCTAACCATGGACACATTTGCATTAATACTTCATAATAATAATCAGATGCTACCATGTAATTGATGCACATTCTATTAACCGCTTGTTCAACATTTACAAGATGTTTTCAGTCTAGATATTTGGAGTTTAAACACTAAATTGCAAAAATATTTGGAGACCCCAAAATTACTACTAAGGTTCTTATTTGAAAGGAGCAGAGATAGATCTTGTCAAAACATATTAAATCTATTTTTTTTCTTTTTTTTCTTTTTTTTGCACCACTAAATTTTCTCAATTAATATACTAAAAGTTAATTACTATTTAACTGTATCATTCAAATTATATTGGTTAATTACACTGACACTTCCTCAAGTTTAATTAAATATCATATTAAAACACTTTTCAAATATTACTATCACTCACACCCCCAAATTACTAATCTGTCAATGACACAGTCAAAATGGGTGCAAAATGACATTTTTACCCTCAATTTTTTTTTTATGCCTTTTAATATAAAACATCATAATTGTATAAGGACAAAATTACCCACATCAATTATCCAACAACACCAACGCCCTCACTTAATATACATTTTATAATTATATACATATGAAGAATTAGTATGTGTGAAGAATTAAGCAATCTATTTTTTGGATTTTACTTATCTATTTTTTGGATTTAGTTGAATTTATTGTAGAATTATATATATATATATATAGACACACACATATATTCCAATGGATATTTTGGTCACTTAATATGTGTCAAATGGGGATAGAAATGTCATTTTATACATCAAACAATCATTTAGAAGCTCAACACAAAGTCAAAGGGTAATAATGCCTTTTTTACATTTAGGAAAAAAAATAATGTCTTTTTACATGTACAAAAGTAACTTTTGGGATGTGAGTGAAAAATGGATCAAATATTTACAATGTGAATGATAGTTATTTTCAAAAAATATTTCAATGTGAGATTTGACCAAACCTGACGGGACATTAGTGTAATTAATCCAAAATAGTAAATTGGGTAAATTATATTACCCTTCCCTTAGGAGATTTGGGATTATACATTATTGTTAGACCGGTCAACATTTAATACTTTGACCAGGCACGGACCCAATGTGGGACCAGTGGGGGTATCAACCCCCACTGAATTTTTTATATTTTCATTTTATTCCTTAATTTGATTTGAATTTATAAAGATGCCCCCACTAAAATTACAATTTGCCCCCCACTGAAATTTATTTATTTTATTTTTTTTGTATTTTATACTTTAAATTTTTAAGAATTTATGAAAATTCTCCCACTAATATTACAATTCGACCCCATTGATTTTTTTATTATTATTTTTTTTTGCATTTTATACTTTACATTTTTTAAAATTTATGAAAAAACTCAATTGAAATTATAAAAATGAAACTACTATATAAGTTTGCCCTCACAAATTAAAAGTATGCCCCCTTTCACAAATTTTTTGGGTCCGTCACTGACTTTGACTTTTCCTAAACTTGTTCATAGGCGGTCGAAAAGTGATTTTTGAATGCGAAAGTAAATACATTATTACGTGTTACAGAAGTATAAGTCAAAATTGTCATTTATAAATTTGATCAACATATTTATTGAAAAGAAAATATTAGAGGAGTCTTTTAAAAAATATATATATATTAAAGGAATTGTTGAGCAAAATGCTAAAGAAGTCGTTACACACATGCTTCAAATAGAAGATGCCAAAATTAAGGATAGCAATTTCCTCCGACCTAGCGGGTTTCCGCCTCGCCTCCGACCCAGCTCCTAATGGGGTGGATTTAGTGGCCCTTAAATGGGTTTGGGAAGAGTATGGTAAAATAATTGAAAACCCGAAGTGGGTTTGGGGCGGGGCGGATTTAGTGAGACCCCGCCCCGATTATATATGTATCTTTTACTTTTATATATATATATATATATATATATAATATATTTTATATTTTTAAGACTTTTGTTACTTTATTGGAAGTGTTTGTTAATATATTAATATTCAATACTTAATAATTAAAAAGTTGTGCCAGCTTATTTATCAGCCCAATTTGAATACATTGGGCTAGATTTTTATTTTTATTTTATTTTATTTTTTTATTTTTTATTTTTTTTTACATTATAATAAAAGTGGCATAACCTGGCCTACCATCACCGCACCCCGCAATTAAATGGAGTACATGAGGTGGAGTCGGTATTTTTGTCTACCGAAGTAGGGGTGGAGATTGTATAACAATTACAAACACGTTCCGGAGTAGGGGTGGAGTTGGTACGATAAATTTTCTAACAGGGCGGAGTAGGATTTAGTCAAACCCATCCCAACTCCGCCCTGTTACCATCCCTAGCCAAAAATAATAAGAGTACTGCTATTTCATCCAATTTAAAAAAAAAAACCAATATATTACGACTTTTACGTGGATGTCACTGTATGGACTACTTTAAAATATAAATATATCAAGATAACTGTAAACAAAAGTTGAAAGATCATTTTTTCTCTCTAACCAAATAAAACAATAATACATCATTTATTCACATCCTCTCGTGGAACGCCGTGAAACTACAATAATATCTTTTTTCCAACCTACCATCAAAATTACTTTCTGAACAGGCAATACAAAGAACAAACCAGGCAATACAATATTGAATCCCGGGAAAATCATTTTCTCTCTCTACCCAAATAAAGCAATAATGCATTATCAGTCCACATCCACTCATGGAACACCGTGAAACTACAATAACATATCTTTTTCGACCGACCATCAAAATTACTTTCTGAACAGGCAATACAAAGAAAAAAATCAGGCAATACAATGAATCCCAATAATCCTTGATATATAATAAAAAACATGCAATGACCCCTACAGATTAAATAAGTGCTTAGTATTTATTATCACGTCTTTTTATTCCTCATGTTTCTTTCTTCTTTTTTATTTAATGATTTTTCAGATGACAGAAAAGAAAAAAAATTCCATTGGAGTCTCTCACTGGAAAAAGAATTTTGTAAAGATATATATATATATATATATATATATATATATATATAGGGTTAAGTGCAAAAAAAAAACCCCTGAT